CATAAAGTGTCCGCTACTTGCACACACGGTGGCTTAAAATGTCTTAAAACTGTTTATTCTACCGATAAATAAAGGGTTTTTTATTGACTGGGATTTCAATAACTCGGTCTGGGATTTCTAATAAAAATCCAACTGGTACTGGTATTTTGCCAAATTTCAGGTGGGAAATGGGATTGGGACCCCCCCTTCAGAACCCTCTTTTTATGCTTGTTACCATATGGTTGTAATTGTCGTGGCATTGTCGCAAGTTAATTGCGTACCCAGGGATCGTGCAAGCAGCTGCCGGCTGTTTTAAAAAGACAAACACGATCCCCTCAAAGAGACCTTTGCCTCCCCTCCCTAATTGTCGCAAAAGTGTTACCAGGCTGTCGTTTTTCTATTTTCCTAAAACACAACAGTCACAACACGGTTTTAGCCTGTCGCAACTGTGGTTCGAGATAGATCTCGAATCTATCTCGACGACACTGTTGTAACTGTCGTGAACTCTTGCCAGCGAGTTGCGACAAGACTTTTCTTCATGTCTCCATTTGGTCGCGAACACTTACACACGTAAAAATCTCACAACTTGTCAACAAGATGCGTTCGCAACAGGCTTGTGGCAAGCTTGTCAACAAGTTGTAACAATGCTGTTATTTTATCAAGTTGCTACAAGCTTGTCACTCACAACTTGTAGTGACAAATTGTTGAATTGCAGGACGATAACAAGTTGCAGTTGGGACAACTTGTAACAAGTCTGTTGAGCTCAACAACCTTGTAGCAAGTTGTCGACAAGCCGTTGACAACTTGCAATTGTTAACAAGCTGGGAGCAAGCAGTACGAATACATCCTGTCACAAGTTGTTGGAACAGCATTGTTACAACACGTTCGCAACAGTTACGACCATATAGAAACCAGGCTTTATTTAAGCCGTACGAAATTTGAGGGAGTAAAAGGTTGGGTAAATAAAAACAAACAACTCGAGGGTTGGGTAATACAAATCTATCGTCATTTCCAAAGCATGACTCACTCAAATACCGGTAGTGAAGCCGATTAAAAAGCAATGTCAACAGTCATATGTTAGCCGCCAATACAGTATGTGAATCAATCAGAGTCACTATTTTGATAATTTTCCCGCGATTTGTCAGAAGGCAAATGGTGTCTCCAAAGAAAGTACATGTGCAGACAACATGAAACTTTCGACTGCAGAAAATTGCACAAGCACTTTATATCAAACTCATGTCACAGAAGTGGTAAAGGCAGGGGCGCCGCAGCCACGGGGGCAGCAGGGGCAACTGCCCCCATTGCCCAGACAGTGCGGGGGCAGCACGGGGACAACAGCAACCGTTGCCCTTTTTGCCGGAACTGCACTTCGAAATTTGTGCGTTGTTCACAGGAATTGGAATTT